GGATATTCTATATATGGAAATATTTAAGCAAGAGACTGACAATTTTTTCATGTCTTTAAGTGAGACATTATGAATCGTGTCCCTTGTGCTTCAGATATAGGATCGATTGCATATGCTGTAATATTAATCTGTTTCAATTTTCCAAATTTCTAGGGCATCAAGAGGGAAAAAGGACTAGAACGAGATATGACTAAAATGGTTAAGGAATTGTCAAGGGCAATCTAAGGTTTACCAAAGATTGGTTGCTTATGGATAGTTGGAAGTATAATATAAATTTTGAAAAGTCCATATTGACATGTTCTGAGAAGAGGCAACTCTTGTCCAGAAGTGATTGTCAAAATAGGAATATGGAAATGTTTCCATAAGTGGAAGTTATTCATAAAATCTATGTAAGATTAGAAAACTTAATGCAAGAAGGATGTTCAAAGGAATGTACTTTTAATATGAGACTTCGTTTCCATGGAATTGCTCTCCATTAGAATACGTTGTAATATCTTTTGCCAAGTCTCTGTGACTTTTGTGCATAGTCATTACAAAAGGGTCATTGCATATAAGTTTAGAATCTAATAGATTATAGTAAATGGCAAGAATTTGGTATTCTTACATTTACGATGAAGATTTGGAATTGTGAAATGAGTATCACTGGAAATGTTTACAATTGATCCATTTCACAAAGAAAGGACCATAGATAAACATAGTGTGAATGCTTGGAGCATAGAATAACTATTGTTTTAATTCAAGTATTAAGTTTATTAATCGAAACACTATACAATGAACAATGTGTAATCAATATGATGATTAAATAATAAGTGTTTTATTTATATTCAAAAGTTTTGAAACCATATTGGATTCGATTATTCTTGTGTTTCACTTTGCATGTTTTACTTCCCGAATAACTAGGTTATTTAAACATCCACAGTCAATCATACTTTGGAAGTAAATAATGAGCTAAGACTGTCATGAATCCGACTGTAGATTGTCTAAGTGTTTATACATGGCGCAAGTTTGTTGCAGTGTTCATGAGTACTCCTGAAATAAGATTTGAGTATTGGATTAAACCCACGCTCATTTGAATCACTTCATTTATTTTATCACGAGTGGTCATGAGATGATAATATCTTATATTCTTGAAACCAAGACATATGAGTTGTAGCCTACAAGGCGGTTGCACATTGATGATGCGTAAATGCACCGGTAACTTGGTGTTATAAAACGTATTGTTGTGTGTGATTTGATGAGTAAGTAGAGCAAGCATATGATTCGAAGTTTATGTGAGCCTTTTACCCAATATAGGATAAAAGAGATATTTGTGGGCCCCTCGATGATTTAGTGATGACATCCTAAGCGCTTGGCCAAGTCTGGACTGATTTGATTTGTTCAATTAGTCAGTCATCATAAATCGAAAATTGGGAAACAACACATGAATAGAGTGAATGATTATAATCCATGTCTCAGTTCATATGATATCTTGTAGAATGGAGGAATATATGATCCCTTATCTAATGGACGCATCAGAGTTCGACAACGGCTTTTGAGAGCAACGGTTGATGGTCGGTTTTAAAGTCGTACTTGCAGTTATAGTTATTAGACTTATCCAAGTGGGAGACTGTTTGATTAGGTGTCTAAGTCAATAACTATAATTGGTATGTACTTGACCTGATAGTACCATGGTCCATTTCGGGTTGCCCTCGCCGAAGTAATTTGATAGGATGGATATTTGAGAAAGAGGTTATTTGTGATTTATTAATATAGTATAAGAATAATATATTAATTGAGAAATCATATTATTTAATTGGTATTGATCAGGAATTAATTTGGATTAATTTACTGATCAAAAGAAACTAATTAAATTTGTAGGGATTGATTATGTAAATCAGTGATACATATGGTTTGGGCTAATGATCCATGATTGATTTATGTTGGATTAAGCTTATGTGAAAGTCCATGAAGTGTTAGTCCAAATTAGTTGTTTGATCATAAGCCTAGGTGTAAGAATTAGGGTTTATAAGTGACTCTTAGTATTCTACACCATATATGTAACCCTTTTAACCCTAAAATCAGGATTAGTGATTCTAAGAAGAGCCTAGCCGTTTTTGGGCTCCATAACCTTTCTCTCATTGTCATCTAATTTTTCTTGGTGTTTGTGACTTGTTTGAGGCATCACACTTGGGGTGCTAAGCTATTTAAGGCCCAAGTTCTAGAATCTACAACAAAGAGGTAATCATCTAACTAGTTTTTATGTTTCAAATATCAATGTTGTATGCTAGTTAGGCTTTATGCTTTGGATAAAATGAAATTGCATGTATAAATAGAGAAAACTTAGATCCAATACTTTAGGGTTGTATGTGCACCATAGGAGTGTTATAGTACTCAAAACCCAACATACCTATCGATTAACAATATAGTTCAAGCAAGTAGGGTATCAAACACAGAGAACGGTAATAATTAAAGTTAACTACTAGAATTACCAAATTAAAAGCAAGTAATAAAAGATGGTTTTCTCTAGTTTTGCAAGACTAGAAACCTGAACAAACAAATAACACTTAAAAAAAAGTAACAATTAAGGAAAATAGAATGTAACTAGATTTTATGGTAAAAGAGACTTCTATTCAGATTTGACTCATTTATTCCTATAGTTGATTTCATAGCAAGTGTAATGGATTAATATATCATTGGCTACCGATTTCTAATGTGATTAGATTCGTGTTCACTGTTACTAATCATTAGCAAACAGGTTAATTCAAACAGTGGCCAATTGGTTAAATTAATAAGCTTCCTAGTATTCAATTCGGGTCAAGTAAGACTTGTAATATTAGCTAACTAAATTTATCAATTCAATTAACTAATGTATGGTTGTTCATCACACATGCTTACACATCAATTTACTTATTTTCTAGTTAATTCTAGGTTCATATTCACTAATACTAGGCATGCAATATTCTTTTCATAAAACTATATGATTCAAGCAATTAAAATGATATTCATGCAACTCAATAAGTTGATTATTATCAACACATAACAGACTTTAACAAGCCTAATAAGACAGTTCACCAAATCAAATTAATCCAAGCCATAATCACACCATATTCATAAATTCATCTACTCTAAACAGAAGTTATAAGCTTTTAGCTCATATCCACAACTATTAACAACCTAAAAACGAAATCCAATGATGTAAACATAGTTTATGCAAAAGATTATGAAAAAGAATTGTGTTTATTGCCTTTGATCTCTTATAACTTGATGTCCAAGTCAAATTCTCGAAAATCAGAGCTTCAAGAATTCTTCTGATCGCCAATGAGTCGCCAAAAGTCTCCAAAAGTCGTCAACCAGTGTTTAGGTTTTGGGAATGACCGATACATATACATATACATATATATATATATATATATATATATATATATATATATATATATATATATATATATATATATATAAGAATTTTCATAATTACGCACCGACCCTACTCGACGAGTACTTCACTTAAAACACGTGTACGACAAGGCATCTCAAAATCATGAATGTTCCATCCTAGTCGTCGAGTTGATGACCAACTCGTCGAGTTTCTCTTCTTTTAAGATTTATTTCTTCAAACATTAATTCCCAAGCTTCCAATGGCTAGTTCTTCTTACTTTTTCACTTGAACATGTCTTTAAGGCCGAAAACATAATTTAAACATAATTAAGTACCTTTTGTTCATAAATTAAGACAAAATAGCCAAAAGTAATAACATATCAAATATGCACATATCAAGGTACCGTTTCATTCGAGAGTTAGTTAATGATGTAACTTTGATTCTGAAGAAAATCCTTGGAACGAAGAATCCAACAAATATGTTCTCCAAGGTGGTTACCATTGAGAAGGTGAAGCTTTGTATGACTTTAACTAGTTTCTAGAAGTTTGAGGGAATGGGCATGGCAGAAAATGAGAGAGAGAGAGAGAGAGAGAGAGAGAGAGAGAGAGATTAAGGAATGTTTCAAGATCTGAATGGTAGTGAAAGACTAAGTTATTCAAGCCTTCAAGTAGGAGATTGTTAGTTGTGCATGTGTGAAGGCATAAAAGTCAAAATGGCAGTAACATTAATTGTTAGGTGGAGTAGTTGAAGACTCTTGTCTTTGATTACTCCTATTGTTACGGAAAATGCACATATACATTTACATATGTATGTTCTTTTCAATATTGGTAAATAGACACATGCCTCTATATACAGAGCAAAGTGTGAGCAACACATAGCAACAAACAAGATACACCATATAGAAAAGAAAATCCAGTGTGAGGTAGTTTCTTAAGTGAGTGATCAAATTACAAGTGCGGACTAATCTTGTATGATTGTAATTTTCTTGGTAATAGTAAAATCTTCTCACTTTTGTTCGCGAGTGGATGTAAGTCTTGTAAGTTTGTAAGTTAGATTAAACCTATCGACATTAAATACTGTGTTCCAATTTTACAGTTTTTCAGTAGTTTTATTCAGCGAGTTTTACCAAAATCATTTATCATGTTGTATGAAGTTGTTTAAATTGTTTTGTTGATTCCCAACATAAAGAAAAATAGTTGCATCATCTTCTTCAACCTCTTCCAACATTACAATTCCATCAATTATGTATTTATGTTTGACTTATGATGATGTTTTGTTTTGAATCAACATTGCATTTCCATCGGTTAACATTTTTTTTGTTGATTATGCACGAGGAAGTCAGGTTAGTTACCGGAAGATTAGTTTCACATAGCTGAAGAAAATGGATGGAGGTGAAGATGAAGATGATGTTAAGAAACCATTCAACAAAATATGGCAGCAGCAAGTAGAGTAATGACAATAAATCATTTTTTTTTTCTTAAAATCTCCTTATAACTTAGACCCATGTATGTCCACTACGTGTTCTTAATAATTCGGCCAACAACATTCAAGTATGATAGTCATTTACATGTCTAGCAAATATTATATACATGTCACAACAAAACAAAACAAAACGCATCAATTTCAAGATACTAATTCGCTAGACCTAGGCTTGAGATGGATCGATTCTGATTTCAGGCACCCTATCTTCTTCTTCTTCTTCTTCTTCTTCTTCTTCTTCTGCATCGGAAGAAGAGACAATATCCTCAAGACTCAATGGTAAGCTACTTGAAAAACTCAACATGGGTTTCACTTTAGGCACCTTGATTTCATCAGCCTCGTTGTTAAGTATCTGAAACACTCTCCTCATGGAAGGCCTCTTTTCACTATCTGGATTTGCACAGCTTAACCCCACGACCAAAAGCCTCCTAACCTCCTCCACATCAAACTCTTTATTGAGGCGTTTATCCACTGCATCACAGATTGCCCCTTTTGAGTGCAATTCCCACACCCAATCAACCAGATTGATCATTTTGTGACCCTCGGATTCCCTCTCAATTGGCCTCCTCCCACAACACACTTCTAACACCACCACACCATAGCTGAAAACATCAGTTTTATCAGTGGCTTTTCCATACTGAAGGTATTCAGGGGCCAAATACCCCATTGTTCCAGCTGTTAGTGTTGAAACAGGGCTTTTGTCATGGTCCATCAGTCTGGCTAGCCCGAAATCACCTAATCTTGCATTGAAATTTGCATCCAGCATCACATTACTAGATTTAATGTCTCTATGAATCACTTGTTGCTCACATTCTTGATGAAGGTAAGTCAAAACAGAGGCCAACCCAATTGCGATATTGTATCTGTGGTTCCATTTTAAGAAACTCCAGTGCTCTGTGTCTTGATACAGTACCTTGTCAATGCTCCCATAAGGCATAAACTCGTAAACAAGTAACAATTCGCCCTTTTCAACACACCATCCTTGAAGTGGGACAAGATTCTTGTGCCTTAAACATGCGATAATTGATAGCTCTGCTAGGAACTCTGTCTTCCCTTCATGAGAATGCTTTGATCTTTTCACAGCTGCTGCATTACCTGAGGATGCCAGGAATGCCTTGTAAACAGACCCAAAAGCACCATGCCCAATGATCCGACTTGAATGGAACCCATTTGTGGCTATTTTAAGCTCTCTGTAACTGAACTGTTTGGGCCCTGTTAGAAGCTCTGCTTGAATGTTCATGTCTGTTTTTGTTCCCCTCCATTTCTTGAAAGAAAGGTATCCGAAAACCACAAGAGCTGCGCAGAAAAATACAGGACCTAAAATCCCGAGCGCCAATCCCATCTTCTTGTGATGCTTATTATTATTGGTAGCATCGTTGGGAACGTCGATGGCAGGATTCTTTGAGACTGTATTATCTGTCACATTGTGAGGATTAGTGATTCTAGGGTTAAGGTGTCGGATACCAAATGATGTGAAGCTCCAACTCTCAATGAAATGCGTTTCTGTGCTCCCCTCTGTTGATGCTGAAAACCCCAGATACATCACTTCTTGAAGATACTCTGAGAGATCTGTATCAATATCTAAAAGCGGGTTGACTGGTTTGTAAGCCGATTCGCTCAAAAACACCTTCAGATTCTTTCCATCATTCCAGTAATCAATCCAGGCCGTAATCATACTCCCACTCTTTAAATCAATCCCAATAGATGCACAATCGGCTGTTTTGATCGAATTTAAACTGTCGATATCCAACCCCACATGATTCTCGTTCGGGTCATTGAAGTGCAAATCAAGTCTGGTATCAAATTCGATTGCGATAAACTTGTTTTTGGTTAACTGTGAGGAATTAACAAGACCCAAGTACCCTCCTGGAGATCCGAGAGTCTGGCTATCGGGTGAAAGAAAGAAAGATATTCCATCACCAAAGGAAGACACCCGGTTGACATTGTTGATTGTAAAAGAGAATCTCGTGGAGAAAGAAGCTGTGGAATTGGTACTCCGGTCGAAGAATGGGATTGGGCTATTGTAGATAACGGTGCCGGAGGAGGAGGAAGGGACGCCGGTTTCACGTGTGAGACCCACGACGCCGTTACGGAGGTAGGAATCACCAAGGAGAGTGAGGTTCCGAAGAGATAGAGAAGAAAAGTGGAAGGTGATGTCTTGAGACGACACCACTGATCTGTATAATATGAATTTGAAGAAAAGGATCATCAAGAAAACAAGGTGCTTTCTTGGATTCATGATGATGAACATAAAAAATCAAAATAAATTGATTCGTTTTGAGTAATTGAGCAAGTGAAGATATGATGAAATGGGAATCGAGTGAATTTACTGATAAATCTGGGGGTTTTGGGGGAGGTGGTGGTGGTGGTGGTGGAGGGAATCTATGGAGGTGGGTGGTGGGGGTGGGGAAATGGGGTTCAAACGGTTAGAAACAGAGGTCGGTTCGTTTTATTTTATTAGTATTGGACTTTATCTTGAGTGTACCGGGTCAACAATATTATGTACAACGGTTATGTTATGTACGTGTAGAATAAATAAAGTATTTTTTGCAACGTGATATTCTTTTTGGATATTCACGAAAAAACCAATGAAATATTCTAAAATTTATATCTAACCTATACTTTTTAAATTCTTCATAATGACCGTTTGGTTTGAAAAAATCAATTTACATTTCGTACAATTATAATTTTAAAATTTTCTTTGTACAACTAATTTAAACCATTATTAATATATATATATTAATTTTATGTTCCTTTACGAACAGTATCTGATCAAGGTACTGTTCATTGGGTCAGTTAGTATACCTTGGTTAGATTACCGATCCACCACCTCAAATGTTTACGTCTTCTAACACCGCCTCAAATGTTTACGTCTTCTAATTTTCGTCTCTTACACCTTATCTCTTCCCTTTCGTCTCCACCAATCATCGCTCCCTACGCAAATGTTTTTTTTTTTTTCGCTCATGATTTGTCTTCATCGTCTTCAGCCTATACCGCCACCAGCAACCCACTCCCGACGCATATTCCACCGCTTTTCTTCTTCTCAGTGGAATCAAAGCCTAGCCAAATCAGGAAGCCTGCGTCTACACAAGGATGGTAACAAGGGTTTTGTGTCTACACGAGCACGAATCAATACTGTTTGAGCAATCGACAATGGTGGAGGAGGTGGAGGGGATCCGAAAGGTAAGAGAAAAGGGTTCCCGGTGAAACCATCCTCAAACCTTCAAAACTCATTCTCCGATCATCTCACAATCATCGCCACCACCCAAGATGTCGTCTTTACACCACCTCCGTCTTTCAAAGCCATAATCGTCGGTGGTGGCTCCGTATATCCCTTTTGCGCCCCTGCCATCCAATAGCCTCCTGCACGGCCAGAGGCTTGCTCCACCGTTTGGGGTTAATCCACCGACGCAACACCCATTATGATTCCGTGCCAACATTCAAATCACATTTGGAATCGGAATCGAAAGGGGAAAACCCGTCACAGCCTCCGCTCGTTTCCTCCGATTATTCGATTCCACCACCTTCATTGCTCCTTTGAACTAAACCATACACCTCCTATTTCACTCTTTCGCTTCCTTCAATCAATGGAAGCAGGTCGTAAGGCAGGCACCTTCTTGCCACCACCATCAGATATCGAGCATGGAAGGTAGCAAAAGGCAATCGACTAAGGTATGCAGCCAATTTATGTTTCTTATTTCATCATGCATCGTCGGTTTTCCCATTTCATTCACATATGCCATTGACTCTTCTCACATCTACAGGTTACAAGTGGAACTATGGGGAACTGTGAAGAAACAGAGGACTATAACGCTGCCAATATCCCTCTCTGAATATTTTCAAATATACATGTTACACCAAATGAACAAAAAAGTATGGCTATATCAGATGAGTCCTATCAGAATAAGGGATGTACCATCTTCTTCATCCGTCATGACTTGATTTCACATATTTTCCATATTTATGTTTTTTCCCTTTAATTGATGCCTTTACTTATGTCGATCCTGTTTACAAATATGTTGCAGTTTGATATGAAATTAGTTATGACTTAAGTTTAGTTAATCTGATACTTTTTTTCTTGGATCATGACAGGAGGATTTCTTAATGAAGCTGCAAAACATATTACACATTGCATATGATAGTTGAATTCTAGAACATCAGGTACACTTGAATTTCAACTACCGAAGATTTAGTCTAAAAAATGAAGTGATGATCTCATTTCTTTCTGTTAAATTGTTGACATAGGAAGCATTGAGGGAATTATGGAAACCTGCATTTCAGGGGCGGTGGGTTCACTATGGTACAATATATATTGTATATTTAGGCTGACAAATCATCAATCTTTCTGCTCAATTTGGGGTAGACATTTACGGTCACAATTTTTTTTACTTTATAAATCTGCAAATCATTTGAAATTTAAGCATATGGTTTTTGGTCGAGTTGATCTCTGGTTAGTGTTTAACACCTATTCCTGCTCTTTATTACGAATTTTACACCTAATTACAAGAAATATTACTAACTGAGTTGAAGTTTGTAAACCAGTGCAAATATAGCAATATTGGTGCTAGATTGATTCCATTAACAAATCATAAGATGAATTTGATGACTTGGATAAAGAATTTGATCTCCCTTATAGAGTTCCCGAGGTAATGCTTTCTTCACACCTCAATATTGGAATAAATGTTTCCGGTTTTTCCCCTCTATCAGATGCATATGGAGTCAACCCAGATATCCTATGTCTCACTTATGGTCAACAAGTAATGTATTATTATATACTGATATCAGTCATACCACAAGATCAATAACTTTCTTTGAAGATTAATGGAGATTTGAGACTTATGATTGTGAATTTGTTGAATTAGGATAATGGGATTTCGAGTGATTGAATTTTTTGAATTAGGATAATGGGATTTTGAGTGACTCACATTCTCTAATCACCCCACTATTTATGAACCAAGCAAAATGGATTCATCCAGTGCCTTTTTCTGATACTGCTTCATCTATCTATTGTAAGTTTTTAGTTCTTGATTTGAATTTTAAATATGTGGTGGAAGATTTTTTGCTTAATACTGATTGTTGTTGCTGTTGGTGATTGATGGTGGTGCAGTGCGGCCTACGCTAATGGATTCAACGCAATACCATTTAACTATATTAAACGCAATACCATTTAACTATAACAAAAAAATCGACATTGAAGGCTTCCAACCCTCGCAAAGCGGGGGACACTTCTCTAGTTTTCTTTATGAATTCAACTTTACTGCCAAACACTCACCCAACTTCATATTTTATGCTATCAAATTAATTTATATGAGGCATCCAAATATTCTCTAAAAAGGAAGACAGTTTCAAAATAGGAATTTGGCAAGTGGCATTGCGAAAATGAATAGTGATATTGTTATGATCTTAATACATTCACAGATGCACAAATGTCAGATCATTATCCAGACTATTCTCGTTATATCCAATTAAGACGACGATTATTTTTCGAAGTTATGAATGGAGTTCAAAAAGACAAAGTGAGGGACTTGGAAAAACATCGGATTAGTACACGTTTCATAGTAGAGATGAAAGAAAATGATATGAGTTGTTTGTATTAAGAAAAAGTGTTGAAAAGTGGATTGTTGGCGTTGATAAGGGGATTGATGAAATAAAGAAAGAGCATGACCGGCTTCCAAAAGTTAAAATTAGGCAGGATTTTTTTGATTGGGAACAACCGTTGTACAAGAATGGTCTCTATGAGCTAAAACGATCGGTTTTCCCTTAAAGACATTTTTAAAATTTATAAATTCTTTTCTATTATTTGTATTACTATTTGATATACAAAAATAATATAGACCCCACTACTTATATGTGTTATCCCTATCCACTTTGAACATTCTTTTCCATCACCCTTCCCCATGTCGGTGACTCATTCAAACGACTCTATAAGTAAGCCTCCATTTCCAATCTACGACTTGAAAACCAATCTAAACATCTCAGAATCAGTTTTAGACAATTTTGAAATGAACTGATTCCAATTTTAGCATCTCATAATCAATTCAACTATTGAAAAATCTTTCATTTCATTCATCTCTAGTATGTAAACAAGAACTTTTTTGAATTTTGATTAATACCTACAAGTAAGCAAACAATTTGTAATGTCCCAAAAATCACAACTAAAGTTTTCATTTTACATTAAATAAAAATATTGGTTTCAGGAAAACCAAGCCAATAAAATCGTAAGTATCAAAATACAATAATCCCAAAATCAGAGTATCATAAAATGCATAATCATGAAAGTTGTTGAGGAGAGTGTGTAGTCAACCCTTCGCCTTTCCGCGATCATCTAAAATACATGAAACACATTTAAATCCACAATTGTAAGCACAAAGTTTAATGAGTTCTCCAAAATATCACACATCAAATCATAATAAACAGTTATGTGTTATCAGCAACCTTGGGACAATCAGCAGTCCTAAGGACTATCAATAGTCCTTTGGGCTCACAGCATCCCTATGGGTTATCAGCAACCCTGTAGACTATCAGCAGTCTTGAAGTTATCATTAACTCAACAACACATATTACAACAATCAACAAATAAGACTCGGCTAGCTTAGTCTAACATATACCCTACCATGTCATAGGTATATATAGTGAGAATACTCAACTCGCAAACAACAAGCTAACATAATAGCTCTCTAATTTTGGAGATCGACACTACAAGACACCTAAACACGGTACACACATACCCTATCAGTCTACACTCTAAAACTCTTAAATTGACTAAAGTAAAAAATGATCAAAAGTCAACGGTCAAAGTCACCACAGTTGATCGCCATGTCGTGGACACCCATTGGATATGTCATGGAGACGTTAGGACAAAAAGTCGTGAAGCTATCCGTCACCATGTTGTGATGATCAATCTGTCACGTCATAGGGACTGCTCTGGACAACTTAATTCTTTAAGCTCTTAATCCTTCAAGCCATGCACTCAAACTTTCCAAAAGGCTTTCTCCATCCCAAAGCATCATAAAAATCATTGCTTTTTATACATGCATGCCTTGAGCACAAGTTAGGTCACAATAAAGAAAATGAGATCAAGTCTCATGCATGGAACTCATAATCCAATAACTTTCTAGATCTCAGATAAGGGGCCACAAACTCGTAATGCCCATAACGAGTATGGAAAACCTTATTTTGAATGTCATCATCTCTAACCTCATCTGATGGTAGCCTGACCTCAAATCGATCTTCGGGAACCAAGACGCTCCCTGCAACTTATCAAAAAGGTCATCAATCCTCTGTAGTAGGTAATGGTTTTTCACCGTTAACTTGTTCACTTGGTAATCAATGCACATCTATTGTGAACCATCCTTATTCCTAACAAAATGGATCGGTGCTCCCCATGGCGAGCTAAACTCCACCTGCCTCATAGGAGGCCCACAAGGTAGTTCATCTGGAAAAACATCTGGAAATTCCATCACCATAGGAACATGGGAAACTTACTTCCTCCACTCGAGTGTCAACCACATAAGAAAGAAAACTTGAGCATCCATGCTGAAGATACTGCCTACCCTTGGATGCCGAAAAGAAGGCGGAACCAACTCTAGTGTACTCCCAAAACATGGTCAGTTCTCCCCCACTTGGGGTACGAACTACCACTAACTAATGCTCACAGTCGATGGACGCTCCAAACCAGCTTAACCAATCAATACTCATGATCATGCACACATCTCTCATTGGAATATGAATAAGATCTAATATAAATCTCACACAAAAAATCTCTAGCATACAATCACGGTAAACATCTGAGGCTGAAACCGTTCGGTCATCGACAATGGTGACCTCTAGGGGTCGATCCAATGATCCAAGAGGAACACGAAAATCCCTGTTAAATGAAGATGACACAAAAGATCGACTTGTACCCGAGTTAAACAACACTGATGCAGGTAATTGTTGGTTTTTTTTTTCTTTTCAAAAATTAGTTTCAAAAACAAGATTTAGCAATGAAAGAGTTGAGTATTTTTGAAAAACTATAAACTAGTTATAACCAACCATGGATCTTCTTGCAAATTTTGGAAAGAAAACAAGCATCAAAGAAGAATAATAACATAACAACTTGTAGTCTTTAAATCCTCAAGGGGAGGATTGGAAGTTGATGGAGATTGTGGAATGAAACTCTTCTTATTAGAGACACCAACAATAGTTCAACTTGGTATGATGTTAGTCATGATCTTGTAATAAAGAAATTACTCTTAAGCTTTAAGTCATAACCCAAGCTATGAAATAAAGAGAGCAAGTATACAAATCTTCTTCTTGCTTTTTCTTAACTCGTGAAGAACATACATAAATAGAGACACACACACAGAGAGGGTTTTAACTTTGGCTAGAAAGAACCAGCAACTAAAAAAACTAGCTCATGTCTCTACTCTATTATACATAGGACAAAAGCTTTTGATTAGTTTATTAAACCTATACTACTTTTATGACAAAACCAACAAAACATGGGGTGACATAAAATAGACAAGGGAACAAGAAACCACTAACCCAACACCCTCATAGGGTTCAGGTTTGAGGTGAAAAAGAAAGAAAAAATTTGCAAACTTTTTCCAAGTACTTAAAATGCATATCTAGTTTTATATATTAACCAAGCCTTTTTAGTTAATATAAAAAATACGAATTATATATGCATAAATCATTCCATATGATTTATTTAATACTAATTATTTTCCTAAAATAATTATTTTATAGTTATTTACAAGAAATATCAACATTTATTAAGAATCAAATTCTTATAAATAACATATATATATATATATATATATATATATATATATATATATATATATATTAATATAATTATTTTAATGAGAATTAAATTCTTATATAAATAATATATTGTGTTAGGGTGCAAAGTTCTCCTTGGATGTGATGTAGGCTTACCATCTTAGATTGTGTAATGGGTTGAGCTTTTCCTATAAATAGGAAGTGAGTAGCTCCCATTTATGTAAGAACTCATTTGAGAGATTAGTCTAGTGAGAGAATTATTACATGACCCACTTTGTAATATCTTGCTAGATTAATGAGAGCTTAAACCAACCTTATTTACACTGTGTGTTCTTGATATGATTTGATTCACATTGATCATTACAATTCTGCATTTGTCATCATAATCGGGCACTACAATTGGTATCAGAGCAGAGCAGGTGCTTGAATTTTTCAAGAAATTGATCCATGATGATGATTTTTGATTGGGTGAATCATTAGTCAAACTTTATGTTGTAAGTTTTCTTTCTTTGAGAGTATTTTTGGTTCTAGAAATCAAATTAGTTCTTTGATCTTGATTAAAATTCGATATTCCCCTTTCTAGAATTCATGTGATTTTTGATTTCTGTCTCTAGAATTCATGTCGAAATTACTTCTCTCTTTAGAATTTTGATCAATGTTGCTTTCTCTATCTAGAAGTTCATTCAAATTCACTTTCTTCTGTAGAGATTTCATTCAAATTCACTTTCTCTCTCTAAAAATATTTTAGTTCTTGTGATCTTATCATTTTTGGATTTGAAATGGAAGAAGCAATTTGTGAAAAATGGTTTGTACTGGAAGGAGGTCATACATATTCATATAATTTTGAAGAATTTCTCTTTTCTTCGGTTACCAGGTATCTTAGAAACTATTCACTCATTTCTTGTGGTGAAAACGATAAATGTGGAAAGATGACTGGTTATCCTCTTAATCATGAAAATCATAAAATTTTGCTTAATCATTTTGTTACAACTTATCATGAGAGAAGAAGGAATAAGAAATAAAATGAAATCATTAGAGGAATTCATTGTAATGTTTTTACATATGGTTTCAATGAACTTGCAGTTTACCCGGATGTTCTTGAAGATCATAAACATGTTCTTGAGGAAGTTCATCATATTCATGATGTTCTTGAAGCTCAATACAAGGGAATTTAATGTGATTCTCATGATGTTGTGAAAGTTTTTTGTTAAATTGGAGTTCAAACTGATGATTGTTTGTGTTCTTGAGATTCATTTGAAGGAATAGTGCCATATAGAAACCCATCAATCCAAGTTGTTCAAATGTATCAAACTCCAAAGGAAATGATTCAAAATTGCAAAGTTGAAGTTGTGAAGAATGATGTTGTTTTTGGATTAAAAAAATTATAGATCCAAAAAGTGGAAAAAGAAGAAGAAGAATAAAAGTAAAACCAACAAAATTTGGGTTTCTAAGCGAAATTCTTCAAATGTTCTTTTGATGCCGAAATCTATGAAGAAAATTTGGATTCCTAAGCAACAATCATCAAATGTTGCAAGGGTTTTGAATTTCAAAGCCAAAATTTTTGAAGATTCTCAAATTCAACATGATGATGAAGTTAGATCTTGGAAAAATGAGAAGAGGCTTCATGGGTGGTACAACGTGCAATTTGGAAATTTCTTAGTTCCAAACAAAGAACCTAGAAATTATATCATTTTAAAGGATTTGACATTGGATCCTCCGTGCTCAATCCGTGTATTGAAAATAGAGAATGAATTTTCAAGGAAGATTCTCAAATTCTCAAATGGATTCTAAAAAGATCGTGTTGATTTCGATACCTCGTTTATTGAAGAAAGTTATTGTTCATCGATCTATCCAAATATAAGCCCAATCATCGAATCGTCAATGTTCATATATTCAATAACTTGAGCCCAAATTTAATTTGGACACTATTCATCAATTGAGCCCAAATTGAAATCGATTTCTTCACCTTGTTTTCTCTTGCATCATTACGAAAATCAATTCTTACAATCAAAAGAAAAATCAAGGTTTAAGGCAAATTCAAAAGTGTCGACTGTGAGTGATTTGGTTACAGTGGAACATCATGACCTTGGAATCGAAATTTTTTGGTTTGTATGTTGATT